CCGCTGACCCCGAGCACGGTGGGAGTCGGGGGGCCTGCAAAAAAAGTCAAACAAAACCCCAAAACTATAGCTAGACTATTAAGTATAATAGTCTGAGAGGGCCTCCCGTGGGTGTCCTCGGCAGCCTTGGTGTCTCACCGTAATCCAGGTGAATTAATTGGACTTCCAGCGTCGTTTTGTTTGGAAGGGACCCACCCCACGCCCTCTGCTCTCAGCGCCTCAGAAACTCAAAAGCACGATGTGCAGAGCACTCTGTGGGTTGTCGCTTTCAGTTTAGAGGGATGATAACTGGACTAGCGGGTTGCGACCTTTTGCTTAGCAGCCACTGGCAAGAAGTGGCTGGGCCTGCCCGGATATCTCTTGGAGATGTCCACAGAGCTGTGGGGCTCACCTGGCTCTTGCTTCCAGCAGCGACTGACTGCTTCTCTTAAATGTCGTAAATGACTGTTTTAGCTCCAAGAGTTAATCACTGACGCCTCAGACAGGCTTACGGTTCTTGATAAAGGTTTTTGGAGTTTGATAACAAGTTCCTGGACCAACTCTATTTTAAATAAGCTTAGGACATGTCTAATGTGCTGTATGGCGTTGTAGGCTAAATATTGGTCAGCAAAGAAAGGAATCTTTGCCAGCTGCAACTGTTGTAACCCTTCACAGCTGAGAAAGAGAAAATGGTAGAAAAGGGGCAGGGCAAGAAGTCAAGGGTACAATTTTTCGTTGTATTCTTAAGTAATGCCTTTGCCAACTGTTATGAGAAATTGCTAGAAAAACAGGGCTATAATTAAAATATTGCTAGGAAGTGCTGTAGAGGGATGTGTATTTAGGCTTTGGGGTTTGAAAATAAACCCCTATAAGTATCTTTTAAGTGCTTGCATTTTCTCCTTTTCTGTTTGAAAAATACCTGCAAAGTATTTTTTTTGACCTTATAATCTACAATACATAGTATAAGTCTCTTGATTGTTCTACAGTGTTATTTTGGAGCAGAGTTTTGACAGGATAATTTGATAATAAACAGTAAACCTTAATCTGTTTTCAGAGTTGTATGTAAATTTAAAAAAAAAAAGAAATGTGGCATAAAATAAAGGAAGTTGGAAGAAAAATCAGAATTTTTTTTCTATGTTGGAATCAATGTTGGGCTTGTTTAATCTGGTTACAACTGTGTGTAGCTGTTACACATGTAGCCACTCTGTAGATCACTACCACTCTTGTATCAAAATGCACCAGATAAAGCTTTAAAAAAGACCTATATTAAAAAAGAAAAAATCATACTGTAAACAAAGGTGATGGCTTACATAACTTCATTAAATTCAAAGATTTTTAAATTATTTCTATTAAAATGCAGTTAATCAGCATTTTGTAATCAGTTAGTGAAAAAGTGAGACCAGATACTTGTCACTGACATTTTTCCCTCATCCTCTTCCTGCCATGATTTTCTGGGGTAATTAGGATTGCAATCTGAGTTGTCCAGCGCTGTGTTGTTTTTCTTTATTAAGACAAAAAAATACCAGACTTCACCAGTCCTCAAAATCCCTCTGCTGTTAATTAAATTCTTTATTATTGCATACACCACAAATATTTCACCTGTCTGATTGCTGAAATTATTCTTGATTCAGGATAGACAAGGGTTAGCCTCTTTGCAAAGCATGTTCAGCCAGGTACTGCAGGCTCCTCAGAATGTGCTACTGCCAAGTAACTTCGGTCAGTGTCTGAGCAGGACAAGGAGTTTGGCATCTACCTGACGTGTGGGTGAATGTTGTGGTGCCTGGCTTTGTGCTTACTGGATCTATCATAATCAGTTTCTATTCATAGTGAATGGGTTCCTAATTTATACATGTTAATGTTGTTAAAGCTAGTTACAATTAGAGTTTGAATTGACAGAAGGTACTTTATTTACTTCAGGGTTGTGTAAATTATGTAGCAGGTGCAGAAGAAGAGAAATACTGTTTTTTTTTGTCATCTGCATTATGACGAATGACTGGACTACTGACAATCTGAAGTAAAATGGAATGGTCTTTCTTTTTTTTTTCCAGTTTGGAAGGTAAAGAGGTGTCGCAGCTGGGCTCCTGTTTGGACTGCTCAAAATCATGGCAATATTGCTACCAGGGAATCAAGGACATTGCATTATATTGACAGGGCTATAAACAGCCAATCTACTTTTGTATCAAGGCCTCTTCGCTATAATCAGCTTACACTCCATTTGCTTAGTTTACCAAGCAAACCTGCTGTGACAGTGTTTATATAGTGTCTTATTCACACTGCCCTTTTAAAAGTTTAAGGGCTGCTTAGCCACATGCCCACCTACTGTGAGAGCGCTACTGTACATGTAACTGTTGTCCAACAGCTATTTCCTTCTTTGGTTTTCTGAACGACAGGTGATCCCTCTGTCTCTGAGCCAGAATTATGGGATTGTTTGACAAGCTAGCGGGATGGCTTGGGCTGAAGAAGAAAGAGGTTCACGTTTTGTGCCTTGGCTTGGACAATAGCGGCAAAACAACAATCATAAATAAACTTAAACCTTCAAATGTAAGTAGCCTACTTAGTTCACTCTTGATGTCTTTACTGCAGAGTTGGTATTTGTTTAAACTGATGTTGCGTGCTGCTATGCTAAATGTGACTGTGAAAAAGATGTGAAGCACTTTTTTATATAGTACAGTTTCCAACTAACTAAGACTAAATTGTAAGCATCATGTGCATATTGTGAAAACTATTCCCCCCAAAAAACCTCTTAATGTATCATGTTTTTTCTGAGATGACCCAGTAAGGAAGGGTTTATGATGGCTGAGTCGAGATCTGAAACCGTTTTCCTAAGTGACTTAAATAATTGCTATAGGATTGCAATTACAAGTGATGTGTCGAACATTTAGGATTAAGACGATTGTATAACTACTTGTCTGCATTTATCATGTTTATTTTAATCCCTTCCTGGGAAATAATAAGTATATAATAAATAATAAAATAGGAAATAATGTCAAGATATACACTTAGTGGTGACTGCAGCATTTCTGAAGCAGAATAGCTTTCAAAATAAGTGGTGTTTATACTTGCAGTTCATTCATCCAGTGAAAAGCGTTTCAGACTGCTAAGAGTGCGTAGTATTCTGAGCAAAATGTAAGGTAGGAATACCTTGTTTCTAGACATGTTTGTGGACTAGAAATACAAGGATTGGTAGGCATGTTCAAAGCCAGAGGCTTGTGCATTTTGATTATGTGCATCTGGGGAACTATGATTTCTGCTCTTTATATCAGGACACAGTTTTGGGGTTTTTTCTGAATTTCTGTTGAACTTTTCCTGAAGAGTATCCCTGGACATTGTTTTAAAAAATGTAACATGGTAAAGAGTCTGCTACTTTTCCATTCCTGGCAATTCTTCTTCCACTGAAAATGAAATAGAGTTATAAACAAAGACTATAAACTGCGTACTATCTGCTGCCAGTTGTTTGGTGGAAATGCAACAGTTCGTACCACGCAAATTATATAGTTATGTCATTTATGTGACCTTTATTGTAGCAGGATTTTTGTGTCATTCCTTAACCAGTAAAGGATTCTTAACTAGAGCTGAATGTAGTCTTCAAGATTTATCACAGTAATAGGTATTTGGGAAGGTACCAAGGAGTTACACAAGTAGAATAAATTTGTTTGCTTTACTGTAAATCATGTAATGAGAATTCTGGATGTTTTTGTTTAACTTGTCTAAGTCGGATCCTTGCAAGACATGACAAATTTTCTAATGTGCAACAGAAGCCATTAGATCAGTCTCAATGAAAGTGTTTATTTTTAGTAAGTTCAACAGACAGATGATTTTGAGCTCCTGATCAGCCCAGTCTTCTTAAGAACTGCTGCTTTGCCATAGGAGCAATATATTAGGTGTCTGGCAAATACATGTGTTTCTCCATCTGTTTGCAGTTGTTTCTTCTAGGCCTGATAAATACATTTGAAGTAAATGTTGAAGAAGTAATACCTCTTTTACCCCACACATGTTTTCCCTTGGTGACGGACTGTTGACTAAACTGTTTATGATGGTGGAATGCCATTTCTGTAAAGAAGCTGCAGGTGAACAAGCTAAGCTTGCTTCAGTTCTATGTGAGAAGTCAACTGCTTATAGATAGTGGTTTTAATGAGGGGCTCTAGAAAGTCTGTAGAAGGATTCATGTCACTTTCTCAGACAGCTCTGTAATCTAAGGAATGTGACCTTTCTCCCTGCTCAATATCGATGCCTCTTAAAGGAGCTATTCTGTTTTACCATCTTAGCTGATAAATTCCTTGCCTAGCTCAGCAGTAAGCGTGGTTATCACCACACTTTATGCTTTATGTTTTGGCCATTCCTCTGTTTGTAAATGGTGATTTCTTCCAGTGGTCTAGTAGTTTGAGTAGAACTATAGTTAGGCCATTATATAATACCTGCTGTGTAAGTCCCTATGTCAAATCAACTCCTCCAGCCTGTGAACAGGAGCTGGGAGTATGGCCAATCTAACATCTTGATAGAAGTATATCCTCTTTTATCTAAGAGGCTTGAAGTATTGTGCAGATTTGTTTGAGTTGTCATTGTGATTTCCGAAGCACACAAATATTGCGAACTTTGACCTCAGTCATAATCTTCAGTGTTACCCTACCTTCTGTTTATTTCACAGGTAGTATCCACACATACATATGCACGCAGACTAATGTAAAGGGTGGAATCTGACGCTTGAGGCTAAAATGTTTTCAGTGCTCCTGTCCAATAGCATTCACTGTATTTCCTAGAAAATACAAAACCATGTACTTCTGTGGGAACTTTTAAAATATAAAGTATCTGGATTTGTAGGAAGCTTTTGTATTGCATACTTTGGGGAAAAATAGGTCTGTAATGTATTCGTGTTTGTTACATATAAATATTTACATTTTCTAACTTGATCGCAAAATTTGCACTTTCTTTCCTTTGAAGGCTCAAGCTCAGGACATCGTTCCAACAATAGGATTCAGTATAGAGAAATTCAAGACATCAAGGTAGTAGTTTTCTTGGTTTTCTCCATTTAGCAGTAGTAATTAATATACAATGTTTGGACTTAATTACCTCTTTCAGTGGGATGTAACTGAGTGTAATGTGTGGTGATGTAATGACATGCAGTTTGCTAAAATGTTGCAATACCCAGGAGTCTAATCATGGCCCAGGGCTGACAGTGTTAGAATATATTGTATATTTTGAGCTGCTGTAAAAACTATATATGTGAAAAATAAATAGATAATAATCTGATTTCTGTCTATTAAGAATTTCGGCTTAGGGCACTGTTAACGGACTTGAGGATGCATAGTTGCTTAGATGGTAACCTATATTCCGTTAAGCACTCTCACTGAGGGGACTGTGAAGAGATTGCAGTCTAATCTCATTAAATGAAAAATGGTGGTTACAGCATTAGGGATGTAAAGATGGCAGGGGCAAAGGTAAGGAAAAAGACAAAGAAATTAGTTGAGTGAAGGCTAAGATTTTGAGAAGGAATGTAGCGAGACAAAGATACTTCAAGGTGGTAACAGTAGATATTATTTTGTTATTTTGTAGCCTTCACAGTGTATTTTTAATGGATGCAGTTATTTTTCAAACGAAGCAGAATGCCCTGCTGAATGAGAGATCTGCAACAAAATTCCTTGAGTCTCAGTGTGGGACTGATAGGTTTCATACTTTTATAGAAGGCTCAACAACTGTATTCTGTCTCAATAAAGCGCATAAGACGGGTTTGGGGTTTGGCTGTGTGAGAGTATAAATTGATTTATATTGCTTTCCTTTGTTCTGGTCCTGTAGTAGGAGTCATGACCTGCAAATACAGCAAGCAGAATAATTAAAAAAAAACCAAACCAAACAAAACCGTAACTCACTCCTACCTCAAAACCTCATTAATCTAATATTACAATCAAAGCATTGTTTGGGGGTGTACATGACAGAGCAGCTAGTCTAGAACCAGATGAGTGGAAAGGACATTTGCAGGGCTTCCTCTTCTAAACCTGGTTTGGTTCTGGTGTAGCTTCCGCTCAGGGAACTGTTTGGGACTACCCAAAACCGGAAAACCTGACACTGAAGTCAGTGTTGCCTCTATAAACATTTCAAAAGTGGATCAGAATTTTTTGTAATGTTCTCTAAATTTACCTGCTTTTGGGTGAAATGTCAAAGTTGCAAAAACTACTGTTTGTAGCTTGGTAACCTGTTATTACCCGAACGTGATTTATTTCATTTTTTTTTTATGAAGGTGGACTCTTTTTATATTTTTTGTTTGTTTTATTAAAAGCCTTTTATTTTGCATACAAAAGCCTTTGGATGATATTGGTGCCTGTCTAGGCACAGAATTTAAGATAGGCTGTGGATTTTAAGTCATGGCTCATATGAATTTCATTTACTCGACATTATGAATAGTATAAAAAGAGAGGCTGAATGCTAGCTTATTTTGTACTTTACATAACTTTTTATCATTGATTTAGCTCTTTTATTCAGAAAATAAATAAACATGTTTTCCGTCCTGAAGTATTTCTGTAATAAGACCATAAAACTGGGTAGGATAGTTTGAAAGCAGGTAAAGTAACCAGAGTTCCTCTGGGAATCTTTCTCAGTTGATTAGGATTCAAGTTGATCTGTTTTATTTTTTTTCTGTCAAGGTAGCAGAGAAAATAGTTTGGGTTTGAGTTTTGTTCTTTATTCCTGTGCCTTATACAGTTCTTTTCTTTGCAGTTTGTCTTTCACGGTGTTTGATATGTCAGGTCAAGGGAGATACAGAAACCTCTGGGAACATTACTACAAGTAAGTCTGTCATTTATTTTGTGACATTGCTGTTCATACTAGCTGTCATGTACAGTATTTAAACAGAAGTACGATAATATCTAGTGGTTAAAAATGATTCAGAGAAGACATACACCTAGTGTTTGACGGAAGGTCAGTGTGGGTAAATAAAACTTCTCTTTCTGTTCTAAAACCCAAAAATTTTTATATGCTGTTAATCAGCGTGCTTTTGGGGACATCTTGTTGACTCAAAGATTGGGGGAGCATTCTAGAGGAGGGATTTAACTATTGAAACCTGAAAACCAATCCTTTAAGAAAGCACCAAGGTGAGCAAGGTTTCCTATTTTTCTGTTCTTCTGCAGGTAACTAACTTAAGATCCAAAAGATATTGGCTGATGGCGGAGATTTTTAGAGATGAGGGAAATTAACCTTAGAGAATGAGGCACATGTAACTAAGAACTTGGAGAACTATTCTTAGATGTTATTTATTAAGCAGGATATTCAATGCACTTGGTAACACTATAGCATTGCCTTATTGGTAATAGACACCATTTTCTGGTTTTCTAGCTTCTAATGAAACTTGAATCTTCATTTATGTTCTCTCATTGTTATTCTGTAAGACCTGATGCTGATGTAAATAAGGGGAACAGTAGTAAACCGTGCAGAAATAGCTTGGAGAAATAAAACCGAGGCATTCTAAAAAATTTAATGTTGATTAAATATTAATATGAATGTGATAGATCTTAAATGTTTCTGTAATTGAGGATCAACGCTTAATCTCCTTTTTGTGCAAAACATGTTAGCAGTTTAAAAACTTGTATGAGTAGGAGATCTTAATTGTTCAAGAGTGTTAAATGCATGTCTCACAAATCTTTTGGATTTCAATAACTGATGCCCTTAGGCTGCTCTCAGAATGCTAACCAAGCGCTTCATAAGCAAATAATTGTTCTGACTGCTGTATTTAATGCAGTAACTTATCCCTTGTGTAGCATAAATGGCTTTTTTCATTTTAATAGTAAGGGAGTTTCTTAGGTAATGCTGATAGTGAAATGTGTATTTCTATCCATCTCAGTCCTGATCCCGTGCAATAGTCACACACCATTTAAGATTACCTTATAAGACCAGTATAAAAATAACAATGTACAGTTCAGTTTATGAAGTTAAGCAAGATATAATTTTTCAAGAATTGCAAAATGGCCATAAAATCTGATCAGGCGTCTAAGCAGTTGCTTTAGAATACTTGAAGCTTACCCTTTTCTTCTGTTTGGCTTGAAACTATCTTCTAGGATGTCCGTAAACTACACTTGCCTTAAATATAAGTAAACTCCTGTTGTGTCCTCCTTATTGTTAGTTGGTTGTGAAGTTATTTTTTGGTAAAAAATGCATACTAGGACTCTGATTCCTCCAGAATAACACTGTATACTCATAAAAAATACTTAGGTGTTTCTGGCTAATATGCAAAAACTTTATTTGCTTTTAAAGTTCTGAACTCTAGAAGAGAGTGGATTTCTTATGCAGTCTTAAGGTGGTCAAGTTATTTCTTGGTCTAGGACTGTTTGGTCTAGGACTAGGTCTAGTGCTGTTTGTTATCAAAGGCAGATGGTGCTGGGGGGGTGATGAACATACAACGGTCTCTCAGAGAAATGTAAAACGAAGGAGAAGTGAATACTGCATTAAAATGTAAATTAAAAATACTTTTTGTAGGTATTTATAACTGTTCATCTAAATTAGTCAGACTTTATTTTGTTTTCAAGTAAGTTTCAATAAATGGAACATTAAGATAATCAGTAATAATGAGTTGAATAATTGTATATATGTCCTGATTGTGGTCATATTGCTTGCAAAATGTCTTAACGAGTTGGAATACAAAAGAAAGATCCTGTTTATGCAGGCTTTTTACAAGTTAAATTAATCTACATATATGTAGTTGTTAAACACAGTGAACACACCTTTTTTTTCTGAAAAGGTAATTGAGCTTTCTCTGAATAAGCTTGTTTTAGTGTAGGAAATAAAGGATTTCTACAAAAAACTGGCTTGAGATTTTCTTTGTCTGTCTGACCACGCTATCAGAATACCAGTTGGTTACACTTTGAGAATTCATTTTTCAGCTGCAGCAGTGAAATCGAGCTTTTCTGAAGGGTCTGTATAGATTGAACCTTGTATCAGTCACACAGCTCGCACCCTCATGTCTCAAAAGTACGCAGGCTACCAAAAGACTGAATTTCAGAAATAAGACGGGATTCAAATGTTAGTGGTAAATAACAACAAGAAAAATTAGAGGGGAAAAAATGAGGTTTGTCTGCTTTTTTCTTTATTTTGGTGTTTCTTCTGAATCCTTTTCTTAATCACAGTTTAAGAGAACCTATAATTTGCCTCTTTGCTCTTTTTATGTTATGCAGAGAAGGCCAAGCCATTATTTTTGTCATTGATAGCAGTGACAAATTAAGAATGGTTGTGGCCAAAGAAGAACTTGACACCCTTCTGAATCATCCAGGTGAGGAGGCTTTTTTCCCCTTATGTCTCCATATTTGTTATGTTGTCTTAAAAAAAGGCCTTATCTGACACATTCTGTTTTCTGAGTACTTGCAAATATTTTAGCATTTGTGAATTGGTACTCAACAATAGCCTTCAATAAGTTTGAGGGGGGGTTTATATCCACTTACATTTACAAATGGATTGTACTTCAGCTGGCCACACTGACTTGGGTGGTTCTCTTATTAGTCGATACAGATCAAAAGTTGCATTGTTTTGAGGAAGAACTTTGAGTGTTTGGAAGCTGGAGATCCTGTATGTGATGATGAACACATACAAAAAAAGTATCTCCTTCTGTGGATTAAAGCTTATTCCTTTAATGTGACTTTTAATGTCTTTTTTTCATCTGCATTTTAATTTTTTATTATTTTTTTTTAATTATGCTTTAACCAGAAATAATGTGGGATAATTATACTAGTCAGCTTCAATTGCCTGTAAAAGGATACATGGGATGAAAGGGGATATGAGAGGATTCATGATTAGGGGGATGGGTTTAGGGTTTTGGTTTGGTTTGGTTTGGTTTTTATTTTTTTTTTATACAAGACTACACTTTTTAATTAAGTTCTGAGATTGGTCAATTCTTAGCTTCTTCACCCTTCTGTATTGCCAACACTACCTGAATGTTTTTGCAAGCAATAGGCAAATTTGACTGCCAGCACTTTAGGTAGTTGCTCTGACTGACCAGATCATAAATCTACATGGAGGAAATTTAAAAGTGCAATAATGCTGTAGTTTCTTATTTAGCTAGTATTAAAGGTCTACTATTGAGCTAGTAGAGCATTAATTTGTGGGGTTACCATGCTGAAAGTGAGAAGGGAGAAGCTGACTTGCATTTCTAACCAAGAATAGTAGTATGTGATGGGTGCAATTATGTTACTACGATTTTATTTTCCCTGGAGACTGCATATTATATATTAATTCATCAGCAAAGATGCTGTAATTGAGTGTATGTGAGCTGACTGCACCCTCATAATTTCGTGTTCAAGGGTATGGGCCAGTTAAAATGCAGACACTGAAAAGACAGTCTTGTGAAGGTCAAAGGGGAGGATGAGGTGAGCCAAAGGCTGCAGGTGGATTATATAGCAGCCAGGGAACTTTGTACCAAAGCAGATATTAACCACAGTGGTAAAAGGCAATTCTCCTGGTAAAATGGAAATTATATAGAACCAAGAATGGAAGGTAAAGACAGCTGTAATAGGTTACTCACTCATTAGAAGGCAAAAAAGGGAAAATGTTAAGACTGAGGACATGTAAGCTTAGGTAGGACTCTTCATTTAGGCGTTAATAGGTTATTAAGGCTGATCTAGCAGGTTAGTGCTGTCCATTTGTTGATGGGTTTTGTGTCTTCTACTTCCAAAAGCTGATGGCTATGGCCACCTAGTACATTCCCTAGAACCAGGAAAGGGCAGTTGTGTATTTGTGTATTTCTGCCTTGGAGCAGCCCAGCTCAAATGCAGCAATAGTGTTCCTGTTCTATAATTTCAGATTTTGATAGGTCACATCGAAGAGAACCAAAGAGAACAGAAAGTTCTTCTAGCAGTAATGTTTGATAAAAGCAGCTGTTAACTGAATCAATATCTCACTGTTCTACTATACCAGTAGTTTTATTTGTATTACTGGTTTGCTTTTATTTCCGAATACCTTACTTTCTCCCCATCTATGCTTCTGCTTCTGTGAACTTCCTGGAGTGTTTTAAATTTAAACGTTTACTTAAGGTTTGAATGGATACAGGAAAACAATCTCCCATCAATTCCTGTCTCTGAAAAATCTTAGCAGTCCTTCAGTAAAACAGTTCTATCTTTTTGCCAGACTTTGCCTGAGGTTGTCGGGTGAAAGGGAATGCATACTATGAAGTATTAATGGAGTTAGAAGCTGCGTTAGCTGGGGCTGTTTTGTGAATCAGAACTATAAATTATTTTTACTTACATAAGTGGACAGTACGATCTTACAGACAATGGCTTGTTTAATTATTAGTGTTATTTTTTTTTAATCTAACTTAATTCTTTAGCATTTTGCAAGATGGTAGTCTGTAGATTTCTTGCTTTAGATATTGACTCTTGCGTCACATGACCTCGAGCACATGCTTCTAAAAAAACCTGAAATTCTGGTAAATTTGAAATTCTTTGTATAAAATTACACATCGCATATCTGTTTTCTGAGATTTACTGGTTTTTAATGTGTTAATTCATAACTATTCGCAACTAGAAAATTGTAGCTTTTCATTAATAACTGCAAAAAGTGGGGAGGGGAGGAATATTGTATAGTATGAAACAATGTCATAAGACAGGAAAAAATGTAAATTGCTGTGACCACTGTAAGTGTACATTTATGTGTTCTTTTTTCATTACTTTAAAAAAAACACTGAAAATTCCTTTATTAACTTGGCTATTTCCCTATGTGATGTCAATTCATTTCTGTGGTTTTAATTAATTTTTTTATTTTTTGCTAATGCCACTAAGCTGTGTGGTGTGATTGACAGGCTGGGGGGAAGGGATGCCATCCTGAGGGACCTTGACAGTCTTGAGAGGTGGACCTGTGTAAACCTCGTGAGATTCAACAGGGCCAGGTGCAAGGTCCTGCACCGGGGTCGGGGCAGTACCAAGCACAAATACAGGCTGGGCAGCAAGCGGATTGAGAGCAGGCCTGCTGAGAAGGGCTTGGGGGTGTTGGTGGATGAAAAACGTGTGTCTCTCTCATGAGACCTCACTTGCACTACTGTGTCCAGCTCTGGGGCCCCAACTTAAAAAGGACATGGACCTGTTGGAGAGAGTCCAGAGGGAAGCAGATCAGAGGGCTGGAGCACCTTCCCTATGAGAGAGTTGAGGTTGTTCGGCCTAGAAAAGGAAAGACTCTGGGGAGACCTTATAGTGGCCTCCCAGTACCTGAAAGGGGCCTGCAGGAAAGGGGAGGGGCTCTTACTGAGGAGTGTAGTGCTAGGACAAGGAGTAAGAGTTTCAAACTGAAAGAGGGTAGATGTAGATTAGATGTTATGAAGAAGTTCTTTTCTGTGAGGATACAGGAAGGCTGGGGAGGGACTTTTTACAAAAGCGTCCAGCGATAGGACAAGGGGAAGTGGGTGTAAGCTGAAGGAGAATAGATTTAGACTGGATCTTAGGAAGAAGTTCTTCAGTACGAGGGTGGCAAGACTTTGGAATAAATTGCCCAGAGAGGTTGTGGC